GAGACGTGTTATATGCTTTCGTGATAAGAGCATATAATTAACTTATTTGTTTGTGTACTGGGAAATACGTTTTTCCATCAAATGCCGCTGATAACTGCATTTATTTATGGCAATCAAATATTATTACGGCATACTTGCCATGATAATATTAGCGAAATCAGACCACTCTTTTGTCGGCATAACTTAACAGAAGACTCATAAAGGAAATAATTTTAGAAATGTATGCAATTAATTATTTTTTTTATTCCTATCCAGATTAAAAAAAGAAGTATAACTTGGTTTTTTAATCTGGAATGTATCTAAGTGAATTATTCTGTTATAAAGTAAATAATTTATTAAGAAGCATACACGAGGAGCTGATAATTGTAAAAAGTTAAAAAATGAAAAGTTCTTTTTTCTCACAGATGTGTGAGAAATATCGTCGTTAGATTAGATTAGAGTAACTAAGGTATTTACTTTGCAGAAGTCAGAAAAAAATAGAAAGAGTAGGGATAATTCACAACTACTTTGTTATATTAGTATTGTATTATGACTTCAGTAATATATATAACAAAAATATAAGGATTTCACAAATTTGTTTTAATATAAAAAATAAGTATTTGGATTCCTAATATTTTTTTCACAATAGTAGACAGTACAAAGTTTTTTTTACTAGTATAATTTATTTACTTTAAACATAGTAAATAATACTTGATAAATTAGGTTTTTGTTAAGTGCGACGTATGTCTATACTGGAGTTACTCTATGAATTAATTATCTAAATTAGATACATCTGTTTTTAATTATACGTTATTTCGTTTTGTTACGTAATACACTTTGTTTTTTTTTTTATGAAATGTTTATTAAATGCAATCGATGAAATAGATCGTCGATTTTAATAGATATAATACAAGACTTGAAAAATCAGATTTTCGTCTCTCGTGCATTAAAAAGGAGCAATTTGCAAGCAGAACATTGATATAGGTCGACATTATCATCGCATATTTAACGCTAAATACCACGGAGTTAGACAGCACTTGTAGCGTTAAATCACGTCGAGAGAATAGAATTGTGTTTTGAAACAGTTCAATCGTATGGGAATGTTTTGCGGCCATTCTTACAATAGCCGCTCCATGCATGTTGTCCGTAAACGGTTATTACAGTACAAAGCATAATGTCGCGCGTATTATCTGGGCAAAATTGTCTTTTGTGACTAAGCCGTCTTGCTATAAAGTGTAAATATTTTGTCGTTTAATTAATCTTGACAATATTTTTGCAATTCTTCTTAATTAAAATTAAAAGAATCTTTTCTTGTGAAAAGTACAATGATATTTCTCCCGTAAAGTTTTTTTGTAAAAAATTGTATTATAAAATGAAAATTTTTTGTAAAATTTCTACTCCTCTCACTCTAAGAAAATTTTGTTATACAAACACGACAATTTTTTTCTATTAAAAGAATAATATTCTTCTAACACAATTTCTTTCAGTGTTTAATCCGGTTTCATTAATTGAAAACCTTTTAATTATAAAAAGATTCACGTATCTACTTTTTCTAGTTATCTTAATTCTAGCGGAAGAAATAAATATTACAGATAAATATTATTTATGATTCGTTTTTATGCTCAGTTTTCATTAATATTCATTTTGATGCGCTACGTAAAAATTATATATTCCTCATCTACATATATTCTCAGAAGTAATTTCATCTCTCACAAAGAGAAGAATTACTAGCGGTCAGTTCTGATAGCTGCCATGATATAGATTACAAACATTCTGTGTACAATCGTGACATACGAGAGATAATCCTAAAAAAAAAAGCATACAAGTGACACGAGGGAAACGTGCAATATGTCACGGATCTCATTGAATGGACGAAGATGTAGTAAGGGAAGAAAAAAAATTTTTCCATTTCCTGCCGCGCCTCGATCGTACACGTTTTCACGGGATTATTTGCCAAATTGTGAAACTCGCGCCTATACTCCTGAAACTTCGCGCCGATATTAGCTTTCGCGAATCTTATCACACTCGAAATTCTATCTGCCATGTTTATCTCGTCGCTTATTATCATCGAATCCGCTTATTGCATCCGTCAGTTATCATCATGTGACTTTTTTTGTTCGTTTCGGTTCCGGCGAGCCTCTTAATCGAGCGAGATGGCACAACGGCCGCTCCAGACAGTCTCCCACGTGTTATCATTGCCGCCGGCAGCGGATTGTTAAGCCACGGATCGTGAATCAGTTACGCGTTACGCTACGCCTCGGACGGGTCATCTTCACGTGCGAAAATCGCACGGTACGCGACGCGATCGGGTAGACGAATCGGTGACGCGGATTGAATCGTTTGAATACTTTTGAATTTCTGCAATGCAAGTATTCTCTAATGAACAAAATAAAAAGCTGTTCTTGCTGTAATTAATCTTATTGTAAGAAAGAGAAGACTATTTATTTATATTTTTTATACTTTTAAATATTCTCTGAACTCGAATACTTGAGTTCTAGAAGAATATATGGGTTTAGAGATACATTAAGAAGGTACAAATTTCTGTGAATTATTTGTAATTTACTTTAAATAATTATTTTAACCAACAATTTTATTTAAATTATTTTATTGATTAAATTGGCGAAAAATGTGACGAATTTAAAAAATTTTAAATCTACTTTCTAGCGAAAAATGTAGATGTTGATGCAGTAATTTGACTTATAAATTTTTTTACATTCTCTTCAATGCTTGAAAGAAACAATAATTTGAATAAAGGCTAATCTCGTTCGTGTTTAAAATAATTTTGATAAAGTAATTTAAATAAAATAAATATTTTATCTATCCACACAAAGCTCGTGTTGCAATTTTCAAAGGTGAAAGCTTTCGTATTTTTCAACGATACGTGAGTTTTGTCACCGTTCAACGCGGAACTGTGATTCGAACTGCAAACTGTCGATAAAAGAGCATACGCATGAGGTTGTTTCAATTTTTAAAACGCGAAAAACGAAGTGCAGTAAAAAATTCGACGATGGGGACGCGAGTGGAGATGTGTGGCAACAATTTGTGGAGTATTTCTATTACAGGAAAAAGAAACAGGACAATCTCCGAACAAACCAACTCCAACCTGTTAGCAATAATTATTTTTGTTTGTTTATTTATTTGTATAGTTTAAGATAAGATGTAGAAGAGTAATACGATATTATTTCTAAGCTTTAATAGAGGATAAGATATAACGATAAGAATAATCTTGTGATTTTGTTTCCTTGAAAATCTAAATTGAAATTTTCTGTTATAATTTCATTTTTAATTTATAGTTTTAATTTATAATTCAGACTACTAAATGTCTTGACAATTTTTGAGAGCCAAATTAAATTAAAAATAACTTAATTACAGATTCATTTAAAAACGAAGTGTTTTAAATCTCCAAGATTTGTTACAAATAATTATCGCATTTAATTATTGTCTAGTAAAGATTTTTTAATTTCAAACATTCTGCGTATTATATGAACGTAGTGATGGTATACAAAAACGAGTGTTGGGTAACACGGTAAACAGCATCATCGGTCCGGACGTATTTCGATATAACGTATAAAAAAAAGATAACCTTCGTAACACACATAGCGTTTATTGTCCTGACCTCTGAAAAGATCAATGACTTTTCGTACACTCGATATCCTTTTCTGGAGACTTCAACTAGATGTTGTGGAAAATAATTTCTAATTATATATCGTTCGAATAACATATTAAATTTAGATACGTAAGCAAAACATCAGCATATATTTTCTTTTTACCTAATAATATATTTTTGAGGGTGTAAGGCATTTTTAATGTAACATCATTAAACGCAATAGCGTCAATAAAAAGATAAATGTTTTAATTGATCTTTTAAGATCATGAAAATTTCATGCATGAATAAGTTGATCTATACGTACAATTTTATTTTATAATATGTAGGTATGTCAGAGAAATATGTCTGGATTATGATTACCATTCTAAAAATTACGTTTGTAATTAAAATTATTGTTACGTACGTAAATTTTATTTTTACTATTATGACAATGTTCTAATAATTATATTATTTTTTACAACAACTATTATAGTAATTATTACAATATTATTATCTAATTTTTAATGTAATTTTTATCTCAACAATTATTTTGTATTTTAAACAAATACTTAATATTTTTAGATACTTTCGATTTTAATCATACGACGAATTTTTCTCGTATACTTAAAAATTAAATACATTCTCGCGTAATATCTAATTATCTAAAAATTCCCTTATATATTTTTATTTCTTTTTCTTTTTTCAGTCACCTTTCAAAGCCACTGAGTAGGAGTACTCCATCGATGGCAGCTGGCGGCGTGCAAACTCCAGCAAAGGTTAGCAGAACCTCTTCGAGGTCGTCGCCGACTACCAGCAGCGCGAGACAGAAGAAGTTCCACAGGCACTTCAGTCAGGTACAGATACGTTTAAGTGGTACATAAATTTTCTTAAGGTTCACGACAGAGTACTAATACGAGAAGATCTAAAAGAGAACGTCTTGCAGATGTTGTTCTTTCCATTCAATAACACAACTTGCTTAATCCGGATCCATTATCATGTTACGATAGTTATTTAATCTTCATCCGGCGCAGATAGTGTTTTAACTTCTCCGGACGTAGGATATAAACGCATACGTCAATGCACGCCTCTACGTGCAGTATAAAAATACTTCCCCTCATCTGTCGGTGAACTTCACAGAGACAAAAGTCCCAGGTGTTTGATAAAAAGATAAATTATTAAATGCATAAATTATTAAAATATATTGGGATGTACATTATAGTATTCATTATATTAATTATTATATCAATAGCTTAATTAATTATATTAATTATTATATTGGTAGCTTGGCGTTTATGTCGATTGACGTTATTGTCGAATACACAATGGCTTGCGTCACATACAAATGAAATTATTAATGAATGCGAGTTTGGAGCAATAGAGAGAACTTCTTGATGTTTAATGAATATTTTATAAACAAGGATCGTGTGTCAACTTGAAACAGAGCTCTTTAGAACGAAAATGCATTCTGTATCTACTAAGCAACACGTATATACTTGAAACGAGCTGTCCCGAGTATGACAAATGACGAAAGTTCTTAAAAAGAAATTTGAATGCTAGAAAATGAAATCTTGATTTAGATACTTACAATGAAAGTGAAAAATGTTTCGTTATTCATTGTAAAATTGTATTTTTGAATGTTGAAAGAGTGTACCAGAATTTTTCAGATTTTTTACAGTCTAAAAACACAATCAGGCACTAGTGGCCCGGTTGGATTAAAAAAGTAGTGAAAAAAAACGTTGCACCACGGAGGATTAATTTTCACTATTTTGCGTTGCGTTCTGTCCATAAATCGATGGTCACACAAACTCAGTTTTATTAGCTATAGGGAAAGTATTTTGCTGTAGTATCCAAAAATTAAGTTAGATATAGATCTGAAAATAATATTTGTAAAACATTCAAGCATGATGAGTAGGTAATATAAAAAAAATTGACATTTTAGCAGTTTAAGCTTTCTACATAATTATTCTTAAATTTGTGTCTATCTAAATTTTTCAATTCATTTTAGTAAAATCATTCTTTTCGAGTAGTATTTTACAAAAATTCACACGAATGGACAAAGTAATAGAATAGAGGAAAGATTCTATTTGCGTTTCACCGCTTCAGTGAAAGAGCAGTACCGACCTAATGGATAGTCGTCGAAATTTCGCTATCAGGTGGCCGACGATGAGCGTGTACTGAATTACTACAGCTGCGCGCTGGTAGGCGACATCCTGCTACAGGGTCACCTATACATCACGCCCAACTACTTCGCATTCTACAGCAATGTGTTTGGCTACGTGACGAAGCTGCTGATACCGACGGTGTCGGTGTTGAAGATCAGCAAGGAGAAGACGGCGAAAATCATACCGAATGCGGTGGCAGTGGCTACTGAAGAGGAACGCCACGTTTTCTGCTCACTGCTCTCACGCGATTCTACCTACAAGCTGATGAAGCAGGTTTGGGACGCGGCGATGGAGCCGCAAACGACGGTAGACGCGTTGCCGGAGATTGACACGGACACGAAGCGTCTCGCGCCAGACGACGTTGACGACGATTCGAGTGTGTCCGAGAGTGGTACTGATATCACGCAACCGAACGTCTGCACCACCGATCCCGACGGTGCTCCTGAGATCCTCAATAAGCCAAATTTGGCACCCCCCAGGTAATCTTTCTATTTTCGTATAATTAAGAATGTATTACACGTATTTTCCAACAAATGAACAAATTTTTTAAATTAAATTATATATTTTTCTATATTGCATTTAAAAGTAATGTAAAGAGTTTAGCGACAATTTAGAGTCTGGATAAAAAATTATTTCAATAAAAAGTAGATATATTAAAAAATAAAATAAAATATGAGAAAATTGTCATTTTAACTATAAAATCGTATTGTTAAATTTATTTTAAATTGTATTATAATATAAATATTAACATTATTGATCGTTTCATAAGTACATAACATTTATTTTTACACGGAAAGCATAAATTTCCTATTCCAATCATTTTTTGCACAGACTGTATACATCCTTAAAAGAAAAAACATATAAATAAAAAAACTTGATTAGTTTAATTAATCACGGTGAAATTATTTTTACGCGAATTAATTTTAGATGAATTAATTTAGATGAAAATAATTAAAAGTTTAACAAAAAGAAGATTAAATCGTATAATATGCGGGATATAAAATAAAGTATAATTTTATTTGCTTTCTTGCAACAACAAAAAAGATTTAGATAATCTTATTGAGTCTATTCTCGCAATTAGTTCATAGCTTTGCGAAATATAACACGTTGAATTTGTTTTCGCAATTGTGCTTATTTCACTATTTTTATCTTTCATCTTTCTTTTCAGACTGGAGACAGCAGTATTAACAAAGACGCTGACACCGAGCAAATCCGATAGGCTAAGATCTTTGTTTACCAATGGATTGAAACCTGGCATGGTGATAACGATACTGGTAGCTCTCTTGGCAGTTCTTTACGTATCGGCGGCTCTAATGATGATGCGTATTGACAGGCTGCATACCGCTTATTTAAACCATCCCCTCGTCTCACCGGAACGTTTCACGCAAGACCGATTGTTGCACTATCTTAACACGAATCTAGATCAAATAGTGAAGGTAAATTACCTTACTTACTGATTACATTATAGATTTTATGTTGTATTGTTGTCAGGATAAAATGCAAAATTAAATAATGATATTATTATAATGAAGTTTTTGACCTTAGCAAACAAATTATATTTTTATGTATGCACATTAAATAATTATTAAAATAAATAAGATTTATTAAATTGAATTAAAGATTTAAGAGTTTTACTTTAAAAAAAAAATAATTACAAATGTGTGTATATGATGATATTTGATTTCAATATTTAAAATAATTTTAGTTCTAAATTAAATAATTGAAATAAATTAATTAAATTGATATTAAAATAAATAAACAAATTCAAAAGACTCTTTCAAAACATAATAACAAACTCAATCAACGGGCGAAGTAAGAGTCAACCACATTTTTAAATGTTTCATAAAATTATATATTATATTAAGAGATCAAGACTCACCCGAACTGTGATTATTCTGAATATGCGAACATTTGCGACAATTGATTTTATTCTGTTATTATATTATTTTTCGTTATACTAATGTCTGAAGAGGGCTCAAACCGGTAGCCGAAACTTGTAACTTGTAACTTGTAACTTATTAGTTTATAGTCTAATTTTTTGCGAGATGTTTCATCGCTGTTAATATAATATATAATTTTATGAAAAAATTAAAAATGTGGTTGACTCTTACTTCGCCCGTTGATTGAGTTTGTTATTATAAATTGATATTGAAATAAGATATTTTTTTTATTATTCTAATACATAACTACACAAGTTGGAAATGTTTATTTTTATATTTTTGTCATATCACTTTATAAGATAGATGATGATAAAAATGTATGAGTAATTTCTATTAAGTAGTGTATAATCATATATCGCGCCAGGTGTTCGAATCGTTTATCGCGATAATTGAAATCACAGATAATCGAAGTAGATCAAGTGTATGATTGATGAAGATGTTTAATCGCATGGTCTAAGTAATTAACTGTGTCATGTTTATTTGTGATGAAGGAATATGTTTGTTTATAGGTGCGGCAGAGTCTGCAGACGCTATCGCAGCAGTTTGTAACGATGAGCCGGGGTGGTAGCCAGACAGGATCGGCCGGTGGCGTGGTGGAACCGGAAGATGCGCCGAGTTAGCCCTCGACGATAGGACTCAATTTAATTCAGCCAAAAAACGACACGAAGCCCCGTCGCCCTACTGGCGCACGTAGCATTACCTCGTGAACGGCGACGCTGTCGCTTATCGTTGTCATTGTCTTCGTCGTTGCTGCGCTACTCGTTGATGATCGCGAGGATCGTTTCTATGCATAGATCATCGCGCGATCGTCCCTCCGAATAGGAGTTATTGTCGTTTTAGTATCTAGACTTCCGTGGGAGTTTAGAGAGGCAGCTGTCTCGTAAAACGAGAGCTCTCGGGCTCATCTCGAGCGCGTATCTTTCTCGAGCGAACTTCAAAGCAAACCTCGAGCGCCCGCGTAAGCCGTATTTGCGGATATTATACGTTGTTTTAACGGAAACATACACATATGGATAAATATACCTCAGACACATATATAAACAATATATGCATACGAAGAAAGCGAAGATACGAAGGTAAGTGAATGGCGAGTGAAAGGGTTTTTGCTTTCTTTTTTCTTTTTAAGCTAGTCACGCGTGTACCTAAGCCCTGGGGTACGACAAAAGAAATAGAATGAACAAAAAATGGTATATGTACATATACATATAGTATATATCTACAGTTATATACATATAAAGTATCTATACATACAGATATAGATTAACAATGCATATTTCGCGCGATTACTTGTTCGTTGATTATGTATTTCGAGCTAGTCGGGCACAGCTCTGTCACAGCTGATATATATATATATATATATATATATATATA